ATTGTTGCCTGAGAGGCCAGCAAGATAGCTCATCAGATAAAGGCACTTGCTGCCAAGACTGCGGACATGAGTTCAATCCAAGGAACTCACATGATGGAGAGAACTGACTCCACAAATTTGTCCTCTGACCTCCACATGCACACATACACATACATACACACAAAATAAATTGAGGGGTGGAGAAATGGCTCAGCAGTTAATAGCACTGGCTGTTCTTGCGGAGGACCCAGGTTCAGTTCCCTGAACCCATATAGCAGCTAACAACAATCTGTAACTCCAGTTCCAGGGGATCTGTCCACTCTCTTCTGGGCACCAAGCATGAATGTGGTATACTTACATACATGCAGGCAAAACACTCATACACATAAAATATTAAAAAGGGAAAAGTATCAAACCCCATTTGTGCACACAGGGGGACACAGAAGATGCCTGCACTGTGTAAACGCCATGCTCCTCAGGCACACCCAAGGACACTGGGCAGGGTAGCTGGAAGGGGCTTGCATGGACCTCTCACATCTTCAAACAGGAGTCTTATGACTGCACCAGCTAGTAAAACAATGCTAAATCTTACATGCACATCGTTTATTTATTCACTCATTCATTCACCTGAGACAGGGGCCCACGTAATCCAGACTGGTCTCTAATTCATTACAAAGCTGGGACAACCTTGAACTGATCCACCTGTCTCCACCTCCCAAGTACCCAGATTACAAGGCATACATTGCCACACTCGGGTTTATGCCTTGTGCATGCTACGCAAGCACCTTTCAACTGAGCCACGTACCCTGGAGTGGGAAGGTCAGTTCGTGTCTTTTCCTCTGTGGTAAGTTAGGATGGTGGGGTAGGAGGTGGGGCACTCACATACATGATCATGGCCACACGTGAGCACAAGTGCACACATGCAGGGTTTCCATGCCACATTACAATTGATACCTGAATAAAACCGCCTGACTCTTAACTTTAGTTTTTAAGAGTGGGCCTGAACTTGGAGGATAATCATTCTCCCAGCTGTCTCTTGGCACCTAGAGTCAGGCCTCATCCGTACTTTTTATTCAAAATGGTTTCTCCAGCTTCAATGGGGAAACTGCAAACTTGAATCCACCCCCACCTATCAGATAATCTTGCCTTTGTATCCCTAGTTGGAGAATCTCTCTCACACAATGTCAAGTATCCTTTCTGTGTTTATCCTTTTCAATGAAGGTGCTCGCTGCCTTTCAGTCCTTTGATACGTTAATTCTCAAGCATACCCACATTCATTCATTATCTTGGGGTGGAACAGCAAATTAGGAATCAAGGTCAGGTGCCCAGGTCACAAGAGCACATGGTTGGTTCAGTGACTTTGCCAAGGTTAATTATTAGTCCAGGCTCTTGTCAATTTTATAAGTCATTCCTACACATACAACTGTGCACATGAAAAAGACTAGGCGCCATGAGTACTCATGAGCCCACATGTTTAAAATTGACAAAAACCAGGACCAGCCTTATCAAAAGGCTGCAGGACGGGCAGGCACCGGTCAAGCTTCACAGATCAAGCCATAAACAAGTTTTACGGGTAGAACTCCTGACCACCCTGAGGGCCCGATACCAGGAAATCAAGGGAAAAACATCTGTGCCTCTGAGGTCACCTCCCATTTAGCAATCCCACTTCCCCTTAGCCCCGACCCTTACCCCATATCTCTGCATACTTTTGAAATTATTGTGTGTGTGTTTGAATTAACCAATAACCGCTCTTCTGCTTCTGTACCCTGCTTCTGCTCTATAAAAACTGCCAAACCCCAACCTGGGGCGCGCAAGTCCTCCGAGGAGACTCTGTGCCCACAGGTACCTGTGTATCAAATAAACCTCTTGCTGTTGCAACCCGAAAGGCTGACTTGTCCTCAGTGGTCTCACTCTTACACACACACATACACTCTGCCTACAGATTTAACTCAGGATATGCACAAAATGATGAAGAGGCTAAGACAGAGGCTAAGAGGGATGGGCACATGGCCACTTTAGAGGTGGATATGGGTGACCATGCAAAGAACGTGCCAGTTGTGGAAGGTGCACCAAGCACAGGATAGGGTGCAAAAGCAGAGACACAAGGGCATGGCTTGCACCCCTTGCATGCCTGAGAGGGGACAGAGGGTGGGCTATGTTTTTATTCTTGTAACCTTAGCCTCTTCCTCGGCGTGGTAGCACAAGCCTTTAATATCAGCACTCTGGGGGCAGAGGCAGGCATATCTCTAAGATGGAGGCCAACCTGGTCTACAGAGTTCCAGGCCAGTTGGAGCTACAGGGAGACCCTGTCTCAAAAAAAAGAAGAAAGGAGGTAATGCTTCCTAAAAAGATAACTGCCAACATCCTGCCCAGTGGGGAGAGGACTGAAGTGGAAGTTCACTTAGTCCCTACAGTTGTGTGGCTTGAGCTAGTCACTTTGGGGTTTTTGACACAGGATCACATAAATCTCAGGCTGCCTCAAACTCTCTATACAGCTAAGGATGACCAGGAACTTCTTATCTCCTGCTTCTGCTTTCCCAAGTGCTGGGATTATAGGTGTATGCCACTATACCCAGTGTGTGAGGTCCTGGGGATAGAATCCAGCCAGGGCTTTGTGCATGCTAGGCAAGCACTCTATTCAGAGCTAGTCACTTTGGGGCCAGTGGGAGATAACATAGACCCTACCCTTGTCAAAGTGGTCCACAGCTGTTTCTGGCCTGGCTCATGGAAAAGCATGGCATGAACACAGCCCACCACACTGAAGCCACAGACAACTGGCTCAGGACAACACTCTTTTCCCCACTCACCCCCTTCAGAATCCACAGGTCTTCTTGCTCTCCGGGAAGCATGTCAAGCTCCCAGGAACCCCAGGACCTTGGTACTTGTTGGTCCTGCCCACTGCCTGGGACTTTCACTCACCTACCTTGTTTTCCCAGAGCTGGCTCCTCATTCGGGTCTCAGAGAGAGCTCAGTGAGAGTCAATGGGAGGTCACCTTCATTTCTTGGTCTGGTGTCCCCCAACAGTACTGTTAAGTATAAACAGCCACTTAAAGCCAGACGTTCCCTGCTTTATAAGTTCTATGAGTTGATAACACCACCTCTGCAGGTGGTTGAGGGGGTGGGGAACCCACAAAATAATTTGCAATACAAGAAAATTAAATGAAGCTGAGCTTGGTGTTGCATGCCTTTACTCTCAGCCTCGGGAGGCAGAGGCAGGTAGATCTCTGTGAGTTCAAAGCCAGCCTGGTCTACATAGTGAGTGCCAAGCCAGCCGAGGCTATAGGGAGACCTTGTCTCAATAAAAGACCAAAATAAAAAAAAGAGAGACCTGGGGTTGTAGGTGAGTAGAGCGCTTGCACAAAACTCTGGCTTCCGTCTGTACAGCCAAGTGGTGGTATACACCTTTAATCTCAGCACTCAGGAAGTAGAGGCAAGGGGATCAGAAATTCAAGGTCATCCTCAGGTACATAGCAAATTTGGGGCCAGCCTGGGCTACTTGAGACCATACTCAAAGACAATGGGAAGAGGGAATGAGGGATGAATTTAATGAGGTTCAAACTTAAGTGCTTGTTAAAAAAAAACAGAGGGGCTGAAGAGATGGCTTGGTGGTTAAGAGCACTGGCTGCTCTTGTAGTGGACCTGGGTTCAGTTCCCAGCACCTACACGGTGGCTAACAACCATCTGAACTCCAATTCCAGGGGAATCTGATGCCCTCTTCTGACCTCCACAGGCATTGTGTGACACAGGTGCACTTATACACATGCAGGTGATATACTCGTACACATAAAATAAAAATCTAAAAAAAAAAAAAAAAAAAAAAAAAAAATCTGACTAACCTTGGCTACACCCACTTGTCCCTCTGTGTGTTTTTATGCCACCAAGTAGAGGGGTGCAGCCACAAAGCTTGATACTTACTCAGGCCCTCTGAACTGGTACTCCTGTCCTTCCCATTACCTCACACCTTGTCCGAGTGATTTGTAAAGTCTGTTTAGCATGTGTTGGATTCAGAGTCCCTCCTCCCCTCTGGATCCCCCATCACTGAACAGTGCTCAGCACACAGCAGCCTCTAGAAATGGGTGAGGGGCTGGAGGATTGTCACCGCAGCAGAATTCAAGCTTGCAAAGCATGGGGATCCAACCCTCCCCAGCGCCTGGTGGGTAGCCGGTACTGGCTCATTTTGTACTCAAATGGGCACTTTGGTGAAATGATCCTGTTGTTTCCAAACTCCTTTGGGGGCAAGGCGGGGGGGCAGGTGGTAGGCAGACCTTTGTTGGGGAGCTCCTGGCCAGAGATATGGGTAATGCTGCCCAGAAAACTATGGGAGGTCTCAGCCTTCTAAGACAGCCCTTCAGGTCTAGACTTACAGGCTGAGGGAACAGTGGCCACCCTGGTGTTTCTGGCCCTATACAGAGTCTGGCCAGCTCAGGTCTCTGCCTCAGGAAGACAGGCTTGCCGGCCATGCTGTGTCTCCATGCCTGGTAAGAAAACATCTTCCCAGGGTCCCCCTTGGGGTCTTCTGGGGGTGAGGGAACATTTCTCCTGTGTTTGGCCGTGTAAACCTAACACAGCCACACTCTAACCCATGGGACACTGTAAATTCGAGGACGAACAAGCCATTTTGCCAAAACAGTTTAATTTAAAAAAAGGTGAAGAATTTGAAAAACCTGGGATGTGGAGACGGCAGAACCCATAAGACCATAAACGTGCGAGTTCACTGGCTCAGTCACAAAGAAACACCATCATCAAAAAAGATATTTAAGTTTAATACAAATTTTATACAAAGAAAATGTGAAAAAATACTTCCATATGCTAAAAGCAATTATGCTTCCCAAATAAGGCCAGCTAGGCTAGAGGTTTTTTTTTTTTGTTTGTTCGTTTTTGTTTTGTTATTTGACAATTGCAATTCACAAATGCTTTCTCTCCTGTTTTCTTCTAGTATCTCTTCCTCTTTCTTCTCTAATGGGGGAACTAGCTGGAAAATGCAGTTTGCATTCTCTTATCGACAATGAAGAGAAAGTAAACAACGACTAAAATGTACAACTCAATGTACTGGAATGATATACAATTAATTTTTCTCATATACATACATCACCTTTTGCTTCGATTGATGCTTTTGTTTTACACAACATACAAAATGGTAGCACAGCAGACGTAGTGTAACAGACAGCATGATGGGTCCTGGCGCTCTCTCATACTGCCTGTTTTCATGCTTACATAAAAACGTAGCGCTCCATTGTATATAAATAATACATACATGCTCCATCCCCGGGCTCACATGTCCTTGGCGTGCGTCTGGCCTTTTGAGTCCTCGCTTTCAAGAAGCGTGGCATCTTTTCACAAGTCTGTGTTTGAGTTTAAGGAAAGCACAAAGCTAAGGGGAAGGGTTCTCCCAACATGAACGAGGTCTGCCTCCTCACTAGAGCGGGGCTTGTTGGTGTGGATCCTCTGTAAACAGGAGGCTGCTTTTCCCTTTCAGGAGCCATCGTTTCAATCACACAAAACAAACACACTTCTCTCCATGTCCTTCCAGCCCAGTGAGCTCCTGTTTCATACATGATATTGTAGCCTCTACAAGGGGCTGATGGCTTGGTGCAACGGGGCCCTCAACAGCACAGTCTGAGCCCTGATCGCAGTGTGCTGCAGAGTGACAGTGGCTCCCTCCCTCGGGTATCCAAAGACAGGGCCCTGTGTGGGGCCAGCGACCCTTGGGTCCAGCCCTGATACCACTGTGAGGCCAGAGGGTTGAGTGGCTGCCTCACTGGGCGTGAAAACATTCTTTTTGTAGTAGGGTATTTTTTTTAACTTCTTTTACTTTTCTTTTATATATATATATAAAGTTAAAGTCAGTATAGACATGAAAAAGGTAGGCTAGGTCAGTGACATACCAAGGTATCCCTACTCACAACTAAAGTGTTTGGCTCAAGGATGAACAGTCCCAGCCGAGGCTGCTGCTGGGTTCTGCGTCGCTGCCTTGAAGCCAAGCACATGGGCAGAGCCTGAGTGTTGGGAATTCTCAAGTCTAAAAGTGGCTGCTTTCCAGTTTCTACTGTCCTGATGTCTGGGTTTTCCCCCAGGGGGGAGAGTGGGTCTGGCTCACAATTTGTCCCTAGTCCCAGAAGGTGTCCAGCCGCGCCTCCCGCGCCTCTTTGGGCATGAGACTCTTGGTGCTGGTCCCAGTGCTGTGCTCCGAGCGGGCCGACCCCCGCTTTTCATCGCTGCTGCTCCATGAACTTGCCTTGCTGCTCCGGGAATGGTCTGCGGGGCAAAGACAGCACGCTCAGGGAGGTGCCCGCCTCCCCTCTTATCCATCTCCCAGCCAAGGGCCCCTTTTCCTCCCTTGAGCCGGACAACCCCACGGTTCCCACCACGGACATCCTTTATCTGTGGATGGATGAGAAGGTAAGGCAACTTATTTTCCAACTGTCACAACAGCTGCCTAGAAGATCAACAGGGTGTGAGGCTCACAGAGAACAGAGGTTAGTGAGAAAGAGGTGCCCCACTGGTGGGGAAGGTGTTCTCAGACCCTCATTACATGACTGAGTGACACCACATGGCCCATGCACTCTGCCTCAGACCTAAGCCCCTGAAAAAAAACACTCGGCCCCCCAAATCTAGCATGCAGTCTCCTTATGTTAACAGAACTGCTCTTTATTAATTAATAAGACTCACAACCAAACCAGAAAGAGATTGTGTAAGAGAAAGAATTAGTACAAGATAGCTTAGTCCACTTAGACACAGACCATGGACTCCCCGTAAGGGCCACGTTAGGGGACGGGGACGGACACAGCCCTAAATTAACCCGAGATGGCTGTGAGGACACGTGGGTACAAAGTGTAGGGCATGGCCAAGGAAGAAAAGAGGAAGATAAAAAGGGCCACAGGAAGAGCACTCAGTCCCTGCAGGAGAGCAATGACCGCCCTAGTGGCCAGCCACCAAGATCTGTCCCGTCACTGCCTAGACTGTTTACCCAGCTCACAGCGTCCATTGCCTGAGCTGTGGCGGTGGCACTTATTGAAAGAGGTTGAGTGTCCAGCTGAGAGACAGAAGGTGAGGAAGGGCCCCTGAGGGTCCCAGGGAGGACTGCACTTCTTACTGCCCATCACAGAGCCTGCACGGACACTGCTTCCGGAAGACAGGGAGCACAAAGAACAATAAAGACGTCCGGAGTCAGTGTTTGCTTCACCCAAGAACTCTCCAGGCACTTGCATCCCCAGGGTTTCAACAGGCAGAGCTGGAGTCAGGGGCGGGGTCCTAGCCCCAAATCTTCCTCTCATGCACGCTCCTATTCCTGGGGGCTTCGCGCTTACATCCTCTGGAGGGTCTCTGGGAAATGACAAAGCTGCTCTCACTTGACCCAATAGAGCAGTCACACTTCACCAAGTCCTTCAAGCTCTGGAGAAAGCGGAGATCAACGGGACACTACAGAAACAGAACTCGGGCAGAACCCAGTACGGGATCCCGGGATCTGCAGGCCTGAGCTTCATGCGAACCGGGCCGGGGAAAACAGCTGGCAATGGCCGGTCATGGCAGGGGAGATGAAGTTAAGGAAAGAGCAGGATGAGCCTATGAGAAGCCAAACCTACTGTGTCCTAAAGCGGTTCGCAAAGGTAGCGAGAGACGTGGCCAAGAGGACTGGCTGCAAAGCAGAGAAAGACCCATCATTCAAAGGACAGGACACACCCACAAACATACACGTACACATACAACAACAACAACACAACAAGGCTTCTACACGCTAATGACTCCCCAGCAGCTTCCGTAAGACAGGGTCATACTTACACTTCTGGGCTGGGTAGTTGGGGTGCGGCTGGTGGTCTGTGGTGGTTTGGGCATAGGCAGGTTGCTTGTCACACCTTTTGCTAACTGAAGAGAGCACAGGCAGCCTCAGAATCCGTCAGAGCTCAAATTCCGCACAACCCCAGGAACCGACACCCACATTCACCAATGGGCTAGAGTTACCAGGGCCTTCACGTAAGACTCAATGCGATGCACTCACAAAAGGGAACCGAGGCTTTTAAAAACTGTGTGTAAACCAGGAATAGGATTGCTGGACACAGCACCACATCACAGGTAGGAAAACGGCGTACAAGGACATCAAAGCCATCTGATACTTTACAAGCCACAACTTCTCAGGACTATAAAAGTAAAACTCTCAGAATCACTAGCTCTGATTCAAGAGCCCGATTCAAGCAGGGAAACTGAGGCTGGGTCGAGGCACACTAATAGGCAGTGCCTGCCACCCTGAAGAGGAGAATGGGGCACTCCCTGAAGGACAGGGAGCTGGAAGTCATGCCACCCTGGAAAACTGGGCAACCGGGAGAGGGCAGCTGGCTTAAACCTCAGTTACAATGGAGGAATATCCATAACCCACGTCCAAAGTCAAAGAGGCCACAAAACCCCCTCAGAAAACCCAGGTGTGGGTGCACACCTACAATCCCAGCACCTCAGGAAACAGAGGCAGGAGGCTCATGAGTCCCAGGCCAGCCTGGAACAGCCAAAATGTAACAAAAAATCTGAAAAACTGATGTGAAAGGAGGGATATGGCAAAGAGTTTAGTAGGGAGGAAAATTTAAAAAGATGGAGGGAAAGGGGAAGCAGTCTCACCACAGTAGGCACGGTGCCTGGGCAGCGAACAGCAGTCACAGCACACACATGGGGCTGTCGGATGGCAGCTCTTCACACCCAGAGACAGAGAAGGCAAGAAGAGACAGCAGAAAGCCACGTTCTCAGCATTGACAATGCGGTCTACACTCAGGGTTACATGGATGTGACAAGGTGGCAGGGGAGGAGTGTGGCCTCTTAAGAACAAAGGCTGCCTGTCCCGACAAAATGGGAGGGAAGGAGAAGGCCTTGAACAGCCAAGGATACCCACACCATATAAAACAGCATCCAGGGAGGTTAGGGAGGAGTGGGGAAGTCCACAGATAAGTTCTAAAGACAAGTCAGGAAATGAGCCAGGGAAAGCTCCCCCCATAAGTGAGGTATAGGGACAGGAGGGCCAATATGGCAGAGACACAAGGCCAAGGACACCTTACGTGCTGAATTCTAGCCTCTATAACTGTATATGAGAACACTGGCTAAAACCTGAGCCACCGGGGATATGGCTCAGCAAGAGAGCCCTGGCCTAGCACCGACGAGGCCCTGAGTTCAATACCATGAGAAAGAGAATCAACTATAAAAGACAAGTGAGAGGGGCCCACACCCGCCTACTGGGGGAGCAGGACCCCCGCTACTAACGCCTCCTTCCTCACACATCCTTCAATTCCTACCCTGGGCTCTGATGTAGAGCCACAGCTCAGGATGATTGGTTTTTGGTCCTGCAAGACATTTCATGGGCAGCAATGCCAGAAACAAGTGCTGTGACATGTCAAGAGTGTGATGGAGTGGAAGGGAACAAATCTTTCTGTTCTGACAGGACCCATCAGCACAGATGGCTTTGGTGGGGAAACGGGAAAACGAGGTGTCTTTAGAGCACTCTGCACAGGCTGAGGCCCTCGCCACACAGCCTTCCACACAGTGATCACTGCCACAAGCGTCCTTCCCTTCACTCCCCCGCCCCTTTCTGCTCCTGGCCTATGGAAGGGGCGTATTATCTATTTACTTTCGTAGCACTGGGGTTAGAATCCAAACCCCCATGCATGCTAGGTGAGTATTTTCTCACCGAGTTCCACACCCAGCCCCCCTCAAAAGCCTGTACACAGCCTCTTTCCAGGACCCAAATGTGGTATCAAGCCTCCTCGTGTTGTCCTGAGCCCATGGGGGGAGGACAGGGTGTGGGCATGTGCGTAGGTGCACATGCATATAGGCCAGAGGTCCGTGTTGGGTGTCTTCCTCAATCACTTCATCTTATTTTTATTTTCTGTGTATGAGTGTTTTGCCCACATGTATGAAAGTGTACACAGGCACGTAATGCCTTCGAAGACTAGAAGAGGGTATCAAATCCCCTGGAACTGGAGTTGTGAACAGTTGTTGGTGCTGGGAACCTAACCAGGGTCTTCTTTCTGCAAGAGCAACTGGTGCTCTTAACAACTGAGCCATTTCTCTAACTCCCATCTTACATTTTTTGAGACAGGGTCTCTCACTGAACCTAGAGCTCACCGATTTAGCTAGGTTGCCTGGCCAGTGAGTGCCAGGAAGCTTCTAGTCTTAGGGCCAGGTTACTGGCACATGATGCTTCACCAGACTCTCCACAGGGGTGAGGAAGCTCTGAAATCAGGTCCTCATATCTGAACCATCTCTCCATCACCCCCCACCTCATCCTTTACAATGACCCAAGCAAGGGTCTGAGATCGCCACTGATCTGGGCATCTTCTGAGACAAAGTGTTAAAACATCTAGGCTGGCTTAGAACTCAGCAGAACGCCTGCTTAGCATATGCAAGGCTCTGGGTTCTATACCCAGTAGTGCATCTTAAGAGGGAAAATCATAATAAAATCAACATTTAGACTTTAAAATGTCCTTTCTTGCCAGGTGTGGTGGCACGTGCCTTTAATCCCAGCACTCAGGCAGCAGAGGCAGGCAGAGCTCTGTGAGACTGAGGCCAGCCTGGTTTATATAGCAAGTTCCAGGTCAGCTAGGGCTACAAGGAGATCTTGTCTCAAAAAGATCAAAACCTTGTCTCAAAAAGACCAAAACCAACATGTCGAAAACAAAAATAAAATGTCCTTTCTTGTCACAATTGCTTAGTCACTTATGTCAGCGGTAGTACGCCAAACAGAAGGCAGATGGGGGCGTTAGGAGTTTCTAGGAAGGGGAATGGAGGCAGGATAAAAGGACAAGGGAGACTAACTGGGGAAGGAGAGAGGACAGGTTTCAGGTTGTACTGCTCAACACAGCAGCCACAAACCACAGAAGTTGCTGTCTAAACTACATGAAATAAAATGTTCAAAACCTCCTCCCCCTCACACGAGCTCAAGAGTGTGACAGCCACAAGACGCTCTCTGTAGAACATTCCTGAGACATGAGACAGAAATGCCCTAGGGAAGAACCTGGGAGCGGGCAGCCTAGCCATCAAGGGCAGGAGCAGAGAGGAAGGTCTGCCCAGCTGGGAGGGACAGGCAGAGGGCACTGTGCTGTGCTGCAGACAGCGGCCAAGCCTGATGTGCTCAAGAGATGAGGCAGGGAGGGTTGGATGGGTGCTCTGACAGGGTGTAGAGAACCTGGGATGTTGCTGCTGAGCATTAGGGAATCAGGGGTTAATCAGGGGTTAATGGAGGGATCTGATGAGGTGACCAGTTAGGTGAGGAACTGGGCCACAATGTAATGATCAAGATGAGTGTGGGACAGGAGGAGTCTGCGCTTGTGGGTGATGCTCTCAAGATGAGCTCTGAGCTTAGGGGCAGCTGAGGAAGACATAGAGGAAGGTGGTGTGCACACTGAAGAAAGGGCAGGCTGTGAAGGAGTTCATTCTGACAGAGCTACTGTCGGAAGGACAGGCCGGCGAGAAACTGGTGGAGAAGCTGGAGGCAGAAGGGAGCCCTGGAGCTGGACAAGCCAAGGCCACATAAGCAGCCTGGATGTCTCGACATCAAGCTTAGATCCGGCAACCACTTCTGGCTTTCACTAGGCGCAATTTCATGGGGTCCACTCAGTGCACCTGGCTCCATGATGGCTGAGCACGCTGAGCTAAAGGAAGAGATATCTGTGTGGAAACCCTGGCTCTGACATCACTGAGTGGCTTGAGTGTCCAAGTCAAGTCCCATGGGCCTCTACTTCTGCGTCTGTACCCTGGAATGAGAAGCAGCTTTCTCAGAGAAGCCGGGAATACTGTGGCGTGGCGGCAAGTGCCTTTTCCCTGTTCCAAAAGCACCAGGAAGCTCTTCTGACCACTGGCCCTTCCCATCCACCACCCAACCACTACGTCCATCGGGCCTAAGGCCTCCTCTCCAATCAGAACCTTTCCACTCCCTCCGATCCGAGATGCTCTGGTCAGGAGCCAGCAAAGGAAACCCACAGGCGCGAGCAGGACACCTCTGGCACTGTTTGCTGGTGCACAACAGCCTTTCATTTGGTTCTAAGTCATCAGTCTACAATTTGCACAGCAAATCTGCGATGCTCAATTCATCCCCTGGCCCTGCCCTGTGCAAGAAAGTCTGTGGGTCCTGCTGAGGTTCACCTCAGGTATGAAGCACGGAGAACCTCCCTCATATGAGCTGTCCTCCAGCCTTGCAGGCATTCCCAAATGTCACTTTCTGACTCTGAACACCTCTGTAGTGCGTGAAGATCCCAAATTGTGTTTTTTCAGCTTGGACATTGCTGGCTCTACTCAGGATTATGACATACCTACAATCTTTAAAAAATATTTTATTATTTTTATGTGTACGCGTGTATTGCCTGCATGTATGTAAGCGCACCCGTGTCGTGCAACACCCTTGGAGGACCGAAGAAGCTGTCAGATCCCCTGGAACTGGAGTTATGGACAGTTGTTAGCTGCCATGTGGGTGCTGGGATTCGAACCCGGGTCTTCTGCAAGAACCATCAGTGTTCTTAACCGCTGAGTCATCTCTCCAGCCTGAGGTACCTACAATCTTATCTTAGTTGGTGTTTTTATTTTAAACTTTTTATTTTTTTATGTGTATGAGTGCTTTGCTTACATGTATGTAAGTGTACCCACACACATCATGCGATGCCCATGGAGGCCAGAAGAAGGTGTTGGATCCCTTGGAACTAGAGTTATGGACAGCTGTCAGCTGCCATGTGGGTGCTAGGAATCGAACTCGGGTCCTCTGCAAGAGCAGCCAGTGCTCTTAACCACTGAGCCATCTTGCCAGCTTTTTTTAAACTTATTTTTATCATCACCAAAAAGTAGAAAATCCATTAAAATGGCCACAAACAGAGGGCATATCTTCAAACTAACATGATAAAATCAAATTGTAGCATTCCATTCTGAGGGAATCCACAGTCAATTGTCTTCGTGAAGAGTGGAATTAAGGCCAAGTGTGGTGGCACAGGTCTGTTACTCCGAACACTGAGGCAGGAGGAGGATGAGATTTTAATCGAGAATTTAAAACAATCTGTAGTGCTAACATATAGTGCCACATAGCACCCCAGCTCAGAAACGTCGGCGCTGGAGGGGGTGCAGAGGAGCTGCAGTTTCCATGAGTGGGTTCACCCCTCTTACAGTCCAAGTTTATCTGCTCTCTAGCGTTAGCTCTTGCTGCTCCTTCAAATCACCATCTTGGGTAACCTTACCTAGCCAACTTCACAAAGGGCTTCACCCCTTCCACCGTGTGTATTCACCATACAGAAATGAAAATTAAACTTTTGGCTCTCAGCTACAGAGAGTCAATAGGCAAAGATCCTGAGAGGGCAGGCGAGAGCCTCAAATTGAGCAAAACACCTTGATGAGGAAGCTGCGTCTCCGAATCAAGTTTAGAAAAATGTAGAAGAAAGGTGCGGCTCCTAGGAAAGGTAGATGGTTCAAAACCCACAAGACAAGAAATCCAGAAGTCTCATAAAACACCCCCCACAGCCTGCCAGGGGATCCTAGAGAAAGGCTTGTTCAACAGAAATGCAGCCCCTCACAGTCCACATGAATCAAACATGGTGTCAGAACCTCCAGGACGGAGCTTTACACGCCTTCACTTACAGTGGTAATTTCCCTGAGGGAGCCTCCTGTGCCCAACAGTGTGTCCCCAATAAACTCAACACACAGGTGACCAGTGCAAGGAGGTACCCCAAAATTGCCTTACCTGGCTACATCCTCACTATCACCCTGAACCCACCCAAAGTACCCTCCCAAAATCCCTAAGAGTTTAAAAAATGTTGCAGTTGCAGTATGCCTTTGATCTTCTCCCTGACAAAATGACTGCCCTGATCCCTTGGCATAAGAGAAATATGAACCACCATCTGCCCAACAGGGGGTGACATACCAGAGCCTTGGCTGGAACCTAAGAGAATGGAGGACGGTGTCTCCCTGGAGTCAGAAAGGTCGAGGGTCTAGAAATACAAAGAAAAAGATGGACTCAGGGCACTGTGGCCATGGAACCCCAAGGAACCATGGGAGAGCTCATCACTTCCCAAGCTCCTCCCTCAGTGGCATGTCTACCTGGTGGTCATCTGGGGCAGATGGATGGCCATATATATATATATACCCTGTGCTCTGCCTGCCACATTCAATAGGCCACAACAGCACCTGAGTGACCCTTTATTCAGTGCTCTAGCCTTAGCTTCTAGAACATTCACCACTTCTTAAACTTTACTCACAGACCCAACTTATCACCCTGTAACATCTTTGCTGTACAAAGGTAGTATACTGCTTAAAATTCTATTGATTCTATTTCATGTCAGCCTCTTACATGAGTCCCCACCATCTGTGAAACCAATATGCTTTTGCTGTCTCATGATTTAGTTTCTTAAAATAAAATATACACAGCTAAGGGACTGGAGAGATGGCTCAGTGGTTAAGAGCACTGACTGCTCTTGCAGAGGACCTGGGTTCGATTCCCAGCACCCACATGGCGGCTACGAACCGTCCTTAACTCCAGTTCCAGGGGAATCCGAAGCCCTCTTCTGACCTCCGTGGCATTGCACGACACGGGTGTGCTCACATACATGCAGGCAATATACTCATACACATGAAATAAATATTTAAAAAAATATATATATAGCTAAAATGTAAGCAATAAATCACTGTTCCCCCTAAATAAGCCTGTGCACACAATAGCTGATATATGCCCCACCTGCTAGGACATAAGCTAGGACAGCACTAGCCACATGTGGCCACTTAAATGTCAGTTAACTAACTCTTTAAATACAGTCTTTGGTCACATTAGCCATAACTAGTCCTTAGTAGTTACAAGTGGCTACTGGTTACCACTTCTACAGCAGGAGGATCTAGCAGAACCTTGAGGGGCCCTGCAGAGGAGCCACCAGATCCCACACACAACTCTACAGGCTCCGTGTTCTTGCCCATCACTGGAGTCTGAGACACGCTGGTCAGAAGGAGCTCTTAGGAGGGTTTCTCCACCGACCCTACACAGCACAGGGCATCCAGGGGTGGCAGGCGTGTAGAAGGGTCCTTGGCACAGGATATGGGTGTCACCAGGGGACTCTCACCGAGCCACTGTCCTTGCTCTTCTCTGCTGGCGTCTCCTTCTCTTTGGAGGCGCTGGCTGTTTCTGAGGACGCTGACTGAGTGCTGGAAGAATTGCCCTGGGATGACTTGGTGCCTGTTTCTGTGTTTGCCTCAGCATCTGCTTCCTGCTGAGGGGCGGTGGCTGAGGACAAAGAGAAAAGTCATGTGGGGACAAGCCAAGTGTAATGGTTTCAGGCCCCACACGGAACCTGGCTTTAAACCTGTGCTACACCCCTAGGCCCCTATAGCTCAGTCCCAATCTGACCCTTGGAGGCTCTGAGAAGGTTGAAGTCCCTTCCGACCTCACTGAGGGATCATGGGCCACAGTGGGAAGGTCCGTAGTCTGCAAAGACAAAGCTCCAAACTCTAGTTGAAAATAGATTGATCTTAAGCTGGGCATGGTGGCGCACACCTTTAATCCCAGCACTTAGGTGGCAGAGACAGGTGAATTTCTGTGAGTTCAGGGGCCAGCCTGATCTACATAATGAGTTCCATGCTAGCTGGGGCTATAGGGAGACCCTGTCTCAAAAAGATGAGAGGGAGGGAGGGAGGGAGGGAGGGAGGAGGTATGGATAAATCCAAGTTGTAAATCATTTTGCAGAGGAAGGCAAATTGTCAGAGCAAAGGATGCCCATTCAGAGGCAGGCTGTGACCACCAGAGGAACCCTGGTTGTAGATCGACCTCAGTGAAGCAGACTTGCTACTATCTCAGGCACAGTGGGGAAAATCAAGGGAAAAGTGACATCCTATTTAAGAGGTGTGGTGTTTTGGTGTGGACAAAAAAGTAGAGTTAAAGAATACACATCCCATGCCCAAAGGTGAGCTCAGCCATCTTGTAAAGGCTTGCCAGAAATCAGAAGTCAGGAAGACACAAGGGGCTAACTCCACTGTGGAAGAAATTTAAAGTACTTCTCCCTAAAGAATATCACTGAACACAGGAGCAAATAGTATCACCTCTAAAAAAGTAACAGAAGGACAGAGAATCTATCTAGAACAGGACTCAGTAAACTAGCATCATGTTTTATAAATAAAGCTTTATTGGCACACAGTCAAATCCATCCATGTCTATATCCTCTAAGGCAGCTTTCTGGCTATGACTGTAGTGTTGGGTAGTTGCCATGGAGACCATGTGGTCCTCAGCGCTTAACAGTGGGTTCACTCCCGCCCTTCACAGAAAAGTAGAAAAGTTGGCCTGTGGTTGGAGTATATTGTCTCAAACTTGAATCACTCAAACTCCACTTTTGAAACTTTCCCTATATTATTTATAAACTGGGGGAGTGGGGGGGGGGGTGCGAGGTGGCAGCATTTGCACATGTGTGTGCATGTGGAGGTCACAAGTTGAAATCAAGTGTCTGCCTTTATTGTTCTCTACCTTACTTTTTTAAAAGATATTTTACTATTTTTATTTTATGTGTATGAATGTATTGCCTGCATGTAGGTAAGTGCACCTGTGTCATGCTATGCCCACGGAGAACAGAAGAGGCCATCGGATCCCCTGGAATTGGAGTTACAGACAATTGTTAGCTGCCATGTGGGTGCTGGGATTTGAACGCTGGTCTTCCGAGGGTCTTCTGTAAGAACAGTCAGTATTTTTAACTGCTAAGCCATCTGTCCAGCCCAACTATCACAACCTTTAAAGAATCAGTGACAGAGGCTGACCATATAGTGTTTCCTGCTCATGACTCCAGGCCTACACCTCCTTCCTACCCCTATGAAAGGGAGATGATAAATATGACAGCTTCAACAACAGGTTCCCAACCAATAAACATTTCTGGGGAGGTGCTCCTGTGTACTGTATGGCTCTTAAGAGAACCTCTGGTAAACTCTGGAAAACTGGTTGTTGGAGGATGGAAACATGGTGCCAAGATTTAGCTGCATGTCTGAACCTCTTTGTGTATTATAGCAACAGTTGTTTACAAGCCTCAGTGACCAGGCAAGTCACCCTCAGTGCAGTCCACAGGCCCATGCAGGGAGCCCAGTGCCCCACCCTGCAGCCTCCCAGGCTGTTGCCCTGGTGCTACCTGACTGGGTGCAGGACTTCATGTGCTCGGGCCAGTGGGCCTGCTGACAGGGGTAGTCGCAGTAGCTGGTATTCCAGCAGCAGTAGAAAATGGCTTCTTTCTTGCAGTTGGCACACCACTGCTTCTTCTTGGTCTCGTCCACTGCCTGTTGCTTCTCCAACTCCAGCTGTTTCTTCACCTCCGCGATGAGCCGGTCACGCTCCTGTTCCAGACTCTGCCGCATCTCTGCCATGGTCAGCTCTGGTGGAGGAGATAGAGCAGACACTAGCTACATCACCAGACCCCAGCCTAGCATGTCAGGCCATCAGACCCGTAGATTCAGACAAACACTGCCTAAGTCTCAACTTGGAAACAGCTCCCAAGTCCAGTAGCTGGATGATTATGGGCAAGTATCCTGCCTGGGACATTCACTGTTCAGATCTGGGGGTGCAGCCTGGATGGGATTTGCAAAGTGCCAAGTACAGAGATAACAGGAGCCCCACAGTGATCTCACCCCAAGAAACATTGCAGGAATTCTGCAACCCCTACAATCCATTCCTACTTAGCACTCTCTGCCAATCAAATACATAGCAGAGTACCTACTGTATACAAGTGTAGCACTGTATACCTGTAACTCACATAAACCTAATTATAATCCTAAGGATAAGCACTAACATTCTAGCCATTTCACAGATCAGGAAACTGAGGTACACAGCTAATAAGGGTCAAGATGGGTCTAGGACTCAGACATGCTTTCTTACAGACCTGTCTTGTGGCGCTGGATCAAGTCTCTTGGGGGACACTGTAGTTGATCCTTACACACTAACAGGGCAACTATCAAACCACTTAAGACAGGCCACGTCTGGATACATGCATTGTAAGTCAAAAACACCACAGGGTCAGGGTGCACTGGTTCCACCTGACTATTCACTGTACCACACTCAGCACCATTAACACACTTTCAGCTATCTCCCTAGGGGCCTATAGAGCTGACTGGAATCTCATGGCCACAGCCAGCATCAGGAAAGAGAACACAGGAAACAAAGAGAATTCATAATTGGAATGTGGTCTCCACCAGCCTGTGTATCAAATTCAGAAAATCAGACAGTCAGTGGCTCTTAAGTCAGATCTTTAGTAGGGGAATGTCTACATCTTAACAGGGGAAAGCAGGGCCTCACCCCCAACCCCTGGACCCTCCAGGCTGGACCCGCCAGGATTTGCTGGAAGTCAGAAACTTGCATCCCATGTTGGGCCTCACCCAGATTGTGCTTCATCTCTGACAGCTCCTGCTGATGCAGCCACTGCAGCTTCTCAATCTCGATCCTCAGCCTACGAATCTGCAACGAGGACGGAGGGCATCTGAGAACCCAATCAGCAGGCTGGTCCCCACAGGGTTCTCTGAGCTCAGCCTCTCCCTGGCACCCTGGGGATGGCCCAGCACTTGGGCATCCTGGCTGTCTTTCCAAAAGTTCAGGTTGTAAAGGAGCAAGAAGAGGTGGCACCAGAGACAAAGCCAATCCACAAAGATCCTGGTTCGACAAGCCAACTTGAGTGAGTTACCTTCGCCAAGAAATACAGCAGGAGGAAACTCAAGGCAAAGACAAGGACTGGATTTTCATACAAACAGTACATCAAAAATTTGATTGACATTTTGATCCTTTAAAAAACACTGAAAGAGGAGCCAGGCATGGTGGCACACACCTTTAGTCCCAGCACTTGGGAGGCAGAGGCAGGCGGATCTCTGTGAGTTCAAGGCCAGCCTGGTCTACACAGCAAGTTCAGGCCAGCAGGGACTACAGGGAGACCCTGTCTCAAAAAGACCAAATAATCATAACCTTAAATCTCCCTTGAGTTCTAACCCTAACCCTAATATTAACCTTTAAGTTAACATACACTATAACCCTAGGGTTAGCAATAAACCCAAACCTGACCATATCCCTAAAATAAAACACCTCCATTGATTCCGAGGCCTCTCTGAAGCCCTTATAGTCACACTTTTTCATTCTCTTTTCACTGTCTAAGAAGAAAATCTGGCCTCAAAGACCATGGGCTCAACTTGGAATTCCCAGCCCGCAGCACCATCTCCAGTGACCTCAAGACACCCTGCCCCATGGCTAGAGAGATGGCGCAGCAGTTAAGAGTACTGGCTGTTCTTGCAGAGAACCCGAGTTCAAATCCCAGCACCCACAGGGCAGCTGATAATCATCTGTAACTCCAGTTCCAAGGGGTCCGACGCCCTCTTCTAGCCTCCTGAGGCATTGCACACACATGGTGACATATACATGCAGGCAAAACATACGTAGAATTAAAATACATAAATCTTGCCGGGCGTGGTGGCGCATGCCTGTAGTCCCAGCACTTGGGAGGCAGAGGCAGGCAGATCTCTGTAAGTTCAAGGCCAGCCTGGTCTACATAGTGAGTTCCAGGCCAGCTGGAGCTACAGGGAGATGCGGCTTCAAAAAGACCAAAATAAATAAATTAAATAAATAAATAAATAAATCTTTTAAATTAAAAGGCTAACCTTACCCTCTGAATGTCACCTGTGACCATTTGCACATGGCCTACACAACACTGTGCACAAGACACCAGCTTGTGGCCACTCTCCAGCCTCAGAAATGAGCAGGTCTCAGGGGGAAATTCAGGGAGCAGTTATTGGTTTTGAATAGGATGACGCTACTTCCTAAGAAGACAGTTTGGTATTTTAACCACCTTCTTTTCTCAGTGCACAAATTCTTGGACAAGAACTCCTTATCTAGAAAGATCAGACACCATTTGTGCACCAACTTCACACTGAGCACAAAGCTGGCTTCCAGTCTCACTGTGAACTCACAGGGCCTGATTCGGGCTCTCTAATTAGAAATAAATGTATGGCCCAGGGCATGGCAAGTCTCCCCAGACAGGTGGTTAATGAGGCACTCTACCCACACCCATGGCTGGCAGAGTAGGCCAGGTGCCTGGGGCCAGCGCCTGAGATAGGCTTCCAGCGTAGCTCCCCGTGGCCCTGGATGGAGCCCTGAACCAACTGGGAATTCGTGGGGCTGCTGACCTCAGCGATGGTGCTTCCGGTAGTGTTTTTGGAAAGATCATTGTAGATTTCCGTCATCGTTCCTTTTATGGCATCCATCATCTGCAAAGACAAACAGGAGCTGTTCAGGGTTAGGGCCAGGTGATCGCTCTCTGTGGCTTTTGTAAGCGACACAAATATAAAACTAACACTCTTAAGGTAATGCGTCCTACAAGTGGGAGTTGGGGTTCCTCCCAAGATGCTGGGCATTTCAGGCTGTCATGGTAGGTGCAGAGTAGGAAAGGCCTGCTCCTGGGAGCCAGGCCCCACTGCAAAGAATAACTCAATGGGACAAAATATCACCCCGCGGAGAATAGAAACCCTGTGTGAAACAATGTGTGAGCCACTTACAAAGTCCTTTCTTAGCCAGGCGTGGTGGCATATGCCTTTAATCTCAGCACTTGGGAGGCAGAGGCAGGCGGATCTCTGTGAGCAGATCTCTGTGAGAGTGAGGCCAGCCTGGTCTACATACTGAGTTCCAGGCCAACTGGTGCTACAGGGAAACCCCGTCCCCACCCCACCCCCCCAAAAATAAGCAAACAAACCAAACAAACAAGACAGTTTCAGACAACCCAGACTGACTTCTTAACTGGCTATGTAGCTAATGACCTTGAACTGATTTTTCTGTCTCCACCATACCTAGTCTTTTAATGCAGTACTGGGGATTAAACCCAGAACTTCCTGCATGCTAGGAACTCTATAGCAACTACGCCACATTCCCAGATCCCCTGCCTCAGAAGAATTTTTTTAATTTACTATTAAGCTGGATATGGTGGAACATGCCTTTAATACCAGCACTTGAAGACAGATCTCTGTGAGTTCGAGACCAGCCTGGTCTACATAGTGAGTTCCAGGCCAGTTGGGCTACAGGGAGGCCCTATCTCAAAAAGACTAAAAAAAAAAATTTTTTGCAGGAGGGCACACAGGCATGTACTTGCCATAGTACACATGTGGAGGTCAGAAGACAACTTTATAGAATTGGCTTCTCCTAGGGATTGAGCTCGGTTCACTAGGCTTGTACCAACAAGCACCTTTACCCACTGACCCGTTTTTATAGTCCCAAAAGACATAAAAAAAAAAAAAAATTTACAAGCTCAGTACTGTTTTTCTTTTTAATCTTTACTTGTTAAGGATTTATTTTTACTCCACTTATATGAGGAGTACCCTGGGAGGCCAGAAGAAGACACCCAATCCTCTGGAGATACAGGCAGTTGTGAGCCAACTGTGTGTGCTGAGAGTCAGCAACAAGTTTTTGTTTTTTTAAATATATTTTATTTATTACTTTTATTTTATGTGTATGAGTGTATTGCCTGCATGTATGTGAGTGCACCCGTGTGGTGCAATGCCGCGGAGGTCAGAAGAGGGCTTTGCATTCCCCCGGAACTGGAGTTAAGGACAGTTCGTAGCCGCCATGTGGGTGCTGGAAACCGAACCTGGGTCCTCTGTAAGAGCAGTCAGTGCTCTTAACTGCTGAGCCATCTCTCCAGCCCCCAGCAACAAGTGCTTTTAACCACTGACACATCTCTCGTGTCCTCCAAAATTTAAAGGAGCTATAACTAATACATCATACAACTAGCCAGTCACATCGTACAATCTGGTGGCTTTTAGGGGCTGGGTCCGCACCTGAGTGGCAGTGTGTAGAGTCTCATGCGCACACCCAGTGGCTTTTAGCATATCTGGATGGACTTAACCAGCAACAGCACAAGCAATTTTAGAATATTTTCATCATCCCCTAAGACAACACCCCAGTCCTTCCTCCATCTTCACCCACCTTGCCCCGGTCCCTGGGAATCATTCATTTGCTTTCTGTTTCTATGGATTCCTGTGCTCTGGATCTGCCATAGAGACGTCAATCACTCTACACATGGGCCTTGGGGACCAGCAAGCTTCAAGGTTTCCCCAAATCTTTGCAGCATGTACCAGAGTGCCTTACTTTCTCCTAGTTCACCATGTGGACGTGGCTAGTCTGTCACTGTAGTGTCCCCTGGCCAGTTTCCTACTCTCTCTGATCCTGAAGGCAATTTTGGAGCTTGTGAAAACAGCCAAGGGCAGTCCACACACAGACAGGTGCCAATCAATGTGTTTATGGAACAAATGTCACTTCTGCCTCCCACCTGCTTGATGATCTCTCCCCAGCCACAGGAGCAAGAAGAGGGCACAAGAGGGCAGGCGAGACCCTGGCAGCTGGCTCTCCTGTGTTTCCAGTGGGAAGGCAGGACAAAGCATACCCTTGCCTCTGATGTCCCCACCACCATCTCTTATCCAGGGGCTCTCAAAGGCTCCTTTTCCCCAAGGGAAAAACAAAGACAATAACCATGCCCCCTTGTGGAGTATGCCCAAGGACAGGGTGAGAAAGCAGGTAAAGGCTGGCTCAGGACTGGCCCTGGGGCAGTTATGCATAAATACCTGTGCTAGAGTATATGCTGCACCTTTCAAAAGGAGAGAAAATACAGCCCGAGAGATGGCTCTGTATGCAAAGGCACTCGCTCCAAGGCTGACTAAGCCCAATCCCTGGAGAGATCTGACTCTCCAAAGTTGTCCTTGGACCTCCACACTCAAGCTGTCGGACATGCATGCACGCATCAATGAAGGCACACATACATACATGCAAATAAATGAAAAAAAAACCCATAAAATAGAATATCTGTTCATAATATTTTTCTGGAAAATTAACACTCACGGGCGTGCCATTGCTTAACTGCCAGACTGAAAAAGTAACGAGTTCACCTCTAAATGGGAGTCAAACTGTTTGCTCCCCACTAACTCCTGCCATCACAAACAGAGCCCCCCCATCCTGTGTCCATCCAGCTGCCTCATTCCCTCCTTCCACAGAATCTACCACACCAACATTAAAAACACTGCATGAAATTGAGAAAAATGGCAAAAAGTGGGCAAAACGCAATCCATCATTAATGTACTGTTTGCATTCCGTTTTGAAGAAATCATGGATTTGTGGACTGACTCTGACTTACAAAGATAGCAAAAGCTCCACATTAATAAAGGAGCCCCTCTGCCAAAACACAAAATCTGGGCCTTCGACTCCGGGTCACCCAGGAGACAGGCAAGTTCATCAGCTTCCCTCCAAAATGTCACCATGTTGAGTTTTTCAACAACAAAGAAAACAGCTCTCAAAACAGGTCTTTCTTCACTTTTGACCTAAGCCTGGCCCTGAAGAAAGTGATGGAATTTAATGATTGCAGAAGCTCAGGCAGACCTGCTTTGCAGGACTTGGTTTACCCATTTGTTTTTCTTATGATTTTATTTTTAATGTGTATGCATTTTGCCTGCATGTATGTGAATGTACCATATATGTGCCTGGTATCAATGGAGGTCAGAAGGCGGCACTGAAACCCCTAGCATTGGAGTTACAGTCCATTGTGAGCCTCTATGTTGTGGCTGAGAATTGAATCAGGGTCCTCTACAAGAGCAGCCAATGCTCTTAACCACTGAGCCATCTCTCCAGTCCCCAAAAGACACTCCCTCCCCCACCCCTGCCCCAGGCAGGGTCTCACTATGTAACGTTGGCTAGCCTGGCCTCAGTCTCAGAGATCTACCTGCCTCTGCTTCCCAAGGGCTGGAATCAAAAGCGTACGCCACCACACCTGTCTCACTTTACCCATTTGTAAATAAATAGCCTGGTCCAATCAATGGACAGGAGATGCTGTGACAGAGCTGGCGGGCAGTGGCAGACTACTTCAACCAATAATCCAACAGCCGCTCTCTTTAGTTCTCCAGCAGTCCACCCAGAGCTCTTGTCTCTAACATCCTTATCACAATCTCCTTTTCCGATTTTTCATTTCACATGTGCGGAGGACAGAGGACAACTTCATGAAGTCTCTCCTTCTACCTTTATGTGGGTCCTGGGGATCAATGTCAGGGTGCCAGGTCTGCCTTTTTTTTGGTCTTTTTGAGACAGGGTCTCCCTGTAGCCCCAGTTGGTCTGGAACTCATATGTGCATAGGTGTCTAGAGGCTGGAGATTGACTTTCTCAAACCCTTTCCACTCTATTCATTGAGGCAGGGTCTTTCAACTGAACCCAAAGCTCCCTTATTTGGCCAGACTACCTAACCAGCTTATGCCAGAGATTCCCTGTGTCTGTGTGTTCCAGAGCACTGGAATGACAGGCAGAATCCTAACTCAAGTCCTTAAGCTTGCATGCCAAGTGCTTTATCCTCTGAGCTCTCCCCACTCTGACATCCCTTCCCACCCCTGATAGTCCTGTCCACTTTAGCAAAAGAAGAATGAACTCCATCTTCAAGCTTGGATGTGGAATAGGATCTTGTGGCATTCAGCTTCACTTATAAACCAAACTAAGTCAAATGAAAATAAATCAAGTTTAAAGACAATTATCCTGCCAATACACATTCAGGTGGGAGTGCTGAACAGGTAAGAAAATAATGCTAAGTGGTAGCAACTAATGAACACATGACTCCTCTGTTCTAAGCATCAGGGACTCTGGGGCAATGTGTGCATTTTTAAAATATGTATTATTTCTATCTGTATTTTATTTTGTGTGAATGTGTGTATTGCCTGCATGTATTTAAGTGTACCCATGCCCTGCAATGCCCTTGGAGGTCAGAAGAGGGCATCAGATTCCCCTGGAACTGGAGCTAGACAGTTGTTAGCTATGTGGGTGCTGGGAATCGAACCCAGGTCTTCTGCAAGAGCAGCCAGTGCTCTTAACCACTGAGCCATCTCTCCAGCCCTCCCACCCCCCCCCAATCATGCATGCATGCATTTTTTATCAACAGGGAAACAGATACCCTCATTAGCTATGAGTTTGTAGACACTGAACACCTGCAGCAAAGAGCAAGCAGCAAGCGTACCTGGACTCCCGAACCAGCTCAGAGGCAGCCAACTGCCCCAGTCCTGTCTGGGAGAAGCAGGTTAGCTTCTGGCCACTGAAATACAGCAAAGGTGATGTCTACATTGCTCAATGGCTTTGGTGGAGCGGGGTGCCATGTTGTTACTCAGGTGTCTGAAGGTCCATCCTTTCCCAGCAGAGCCTTCCTACGAGCCCCACCCCCTTGCAGACCCCAGGCCTTGGCTGCAAGCTCCTGAAGTTCATAGAACAGCTGAGTCGGGTCTTGATACCTGATGCACAGAAACTAAGGGATCGTGTGTGTGCATGTGCGCTGTGTTGAGTTTGCTAGGCTCCGTGGGACTCTGTGGCAAAGTAACAGGTAGCAGTGACATGTGGATAGAAAAGAAAAATAATCAAGAAAAAGTCTTTAGGGAATAAAAATCAAAGATTTTTCTCACCATTCAGAATTTTAAATTTCTACCATGAAACCAATCATTAAAGCAAATCTATCATGAGACTTTAAGAATTCTAAGGGGGAGAGCGGTGGAGGAAACAGAGTGACGGATGGCTTGGCATTTAAGAGCACTGGCTGATCTCACAGAGGACCTGGGTTTGGTTCCCAGTACCCACATGGCAGCTCAAAACCTCTTCTAACTCTACTTCCAGGGGATCTGATGCCCTCTTTTGATTTCTGTGGGCTTCTGCATACATGTGATGCATATACACACACAGAGGCACATACACATTAAATAAATTCTTTTAAAATGTTCTTTTAAATAAAAGAATTCCAAACAAGGTAGAGTGACATACACTTAAAATCCAGTACTCAAAGAGGCCATGACAATGAGGCTAGCCTAGGCTAAATTGAAAAAAATAAATTCCAGAAACTCTCTTCTCCATTGTCCTTATCTGTGCCTCTATAGCTTCAATAGTTTACTCATTAATAACTAATTTCTCATTTCCTCATTAGTAAAAAATGTATTACTACTGTTTACATGGTATTTACCAAATAGAGTTTTTTGTAAATTTTTGTTTATTTTTATTTTATATGTTTGAGCGCTTTGTCTGTATGTAAGTACATCTGTGTTGTGCAATGCCTGCAGAGTTCTAAAAAGGGTGTCAGATCCCCTGGAACTGGAGTTATGGACGGTTGTTAGACACCATGTGGGTGCTAGAAACTGAACCCAGGTCCTCAGAAACAGGGTGCCCTCTCTTAACTACTGAGTGCTCTCTCTTCACTACTCTCTTAACTACTGAGCCATTCCTCCAGCTCCAATGGTAAAGTATTTCTTATTAGCTATGAAGTCACTGACAGTAATAAATCCAGTAAGGAGATGGCTGGTTAACACACACTCAGTTGGTGACGATGGACCAAGCACTTACCACCTGGGTAGGACCAATGTACCAAGCACCTACTACCCAGCATCATCCCCATCCTTGGAAGTGAGCTGAAGCCCTAGGATCATTATCACAGAGTGGTCTACTGATGTCTACACACAACTGCAGAGGAAAACCGTGTCTTTTTTTTTTTTTCATTCAAACTCAACTGTGGTCATAAAAGCACTTGGCCAATTAAGAGAGAGCGCGCCAGTGCTGACAGTGTGCCTGCATTCATAGGCAATGGGCAATCCTGCCTGCAGTGCCACTAGCAAGAAGTGTCCCAGAGAGTGGGTGACTTGGAGGAGGGGCCCATGAGCCCCAGTTCCTCTGGATTCCTAGAACAATCGAGGTAGAGGTCTCGCTCACTTCAGTCCCTTCTACAAGCAAGTCAAGTCCTTGGTCAGCTGTTCACAGGACAGTGCCTTCTTCCAGAACTTGAACATCTGTCCTGAACTAGCAGCTGAAGCTCTGCAGAGCAAAGCTGACTCTGGGTCACCATCTGCATCTCAGACACTGGACTAGACAATCCACCCTCTGCAGGAAGACAGCCTGTTTGCCCTGCAGGCTGTTTCCTCCTCATTGAAACAAAAGGAAAAGAGAAGCTCAGAATGTTACAGGATTCACAAGGTCCCTCCCCAAAGTTAGATACACAGTAACAACTGTTGGAGCGTTAAGGGGAACCAAGCTCTCCAGGTTGAAACTGGAGCTCCAGGGATGCAGCTTTTGCCGGTTTGGGGCCCAGGGTCAACTTTTTGTATCTGCATCTGAGTCATCCACTCCTTAGTTCCGTCCTAGCTCCTGGAACTAGCTCTTAGACACTCACTAGTTCACCAAGCTAGATCTGAGTGGGATCATTTCTCTGGTTTGTTGATGCCCTTCTGGGTTAAACAAACATTTGTTTACATCTCTCCAGGAAAAGTCAAGCACTACCATTCTAGATTTCTCTAGGACTCAGTGGTTAAGAGCACTTGCTGCTCTTGCTGAGGACCTGAGTTCAGATTCCAGCACCACATTAGAAGGCTCACAACCACCTATAATTCCAGTTCCAAGGGATCTGAGACCACCTTCTGGTCTCCATGGGGACCCACACACAGGTACACAAACCCACAGAGATAGACACACATATACATAATTAAAAAATAATGAAACAGGGCTGGAGAGATGGCTCAGCTGTTAAGAACACTGACTGTCCTTGCAGAAGACCCGGGTTTGAATCCCAACACCCACATGGCAGCTAACAACTGTCCATAACTCCAGTTCCAGGGGATCTGACAGCCTCTTTTGTCCTCCTCGGGCATTGCATAACGCGGGTGCACTTACCTACATGCAGGCAATACACACACATAAAATAAAAATAATAAATAAAATACTAAGAAAAAAATAATGAAATTTAAAAAAAAAAAAAAAGAACTAATGAGACCAGATCATGGTGGCACACAGCTGCAATCCAGTTACAATCCAGTTGCAATCAGTAGGAGGCTGAAGCAGGAAGGTAACAAGGCTAGCCTAGGCTACAGAGAAAGGCCCGCCTCAAAATAAAATAAGCCAGGTGTGGTGGCACACGCCTTTAGTCCCAGCAACTCAGGAGGCAGAGGCAGGCAGATTTCTATGAGTTCAAGGCCAGCCTGCTATACATAGCAAGTTCCAGGTCAGCAGGGGCTACAGGGAGACCCTCTCTCAAAAAAGACCTAAATAATAAATAAAATAAATAAAAAACACTTCTGGGAATACAGCTCAGTGTTAGAACATTTGGGGGCAAATCCCTGGGTTCAATTCTCAGCAGCACATGAAAAAATAAGAAATGAGGGGCTGGGGAGATGGCTCAGTGGTTAAGATCACTGACTACTATTGAAGAGGACCCAGGTTTGATTCCCAGCATCCACACAGCAGCTAACAAACCGTCTATAACTCCAGTTCCAGGGAATTCAACACTGTCTTCTGACCTCCATGGGCATTGCACTACACAGGTGCGCCTACATACATGCAGGCAAAACAGTCATAAAATAAAAAATATTTTTTTAAATTAAGAAATGAATAAACCAAGTTGAGACCCAAATGCAAGCCGGGTTTTGGAGGTCCTCTGTAAAAAAATCAAGGTCTGAGCCTTCCTACACAGTGCCCAGTTATGGCCCCCAAAATCCGCACCATGAAGCGGGTCTTCTGGCACCCCAGACAATGCCCACTCACTTTGCTGGTATACTTGGCAATGTCGGCAGCCACATCAGCTGAAGCGGTGGCGATGGGTAGGTCAGCGTTGATGGCGGACGCCAGGGTGCTTGCAGAGCCTGAGCTGCTAACTAGGGATGCTGGCTGTGTGCTGGTCACCAGCGTGATGGTAGACGTGGATGGGCTCTGGGTGATCTCCTTCTGCTGGACGGCTGGGAAAGCAAAGGATTGGGTCACCCCACCCATGTGGGAACACGCATCCCAGCACAGAGCTGGGGTAAAGAGAAACTCTCACACAGGCCCAGCCAGCTTCTGAATTTGTTAGTGGTAGTGTCTCATCTTGACCAAGCTCAAGCCAGGCTCCTCCAAGCTTTCTCCTCAACTAGGCCCCAACCTTGCATGACAAAGACCCGAACAAACATGACATCTCTATAAGAGCTCAAGGTGGTGAGGGAGGTGACCTAATCCAGCCTTCAAGTGCCTGGTGAGGAAAACTCCAGGCTGCCAACAAGCATCTAAAGATGTGAGGCAACTACCACCTCATCGCTACGAAAAGGCAAGAGGCTGACTGTCCAGTGCCCATTAGCAAACCCAGGGGCTTCGCACACAGACCCCCTTTCTGTTGTCTATAATGTTTAACTTTTCTGACTGAGTCCCCGCTCAGCCCCTCCTGACTTCCTCTTTCTACCTTTAAAACACCAGCCACCTCTGCACAAATCATGGGTGAGTTTAGATCACACTGGGTCCTTTCTCCAGTGGAGTGGTAGGTTACTAATTAAAATCTTTTCCTACTACTTTAAAGGGAATAATAGTATCATTAAATAATAGTACTCATTAAAATATCAGTCCACAACACATTCGGGTTTTTACAGTGCTGAGGACTGAACACAGGGTCCTGTGCACGCTGGGCAAACATTCTATGAACAAGGACCAAGCTACACACCCAGCCCAGTCCTTAATACTTTAAAAGTCTAAGCACAGATGCCGGGCGTGGTGGCACACACCTTTAATCCCAGCTCTTGGGAGGCAGAGGCAGGTGGATCTCTGTGCGTTCAAGGCCAGGCTGGTCTACATAGTGAGTTCCAGGACAGCTGGGGCTACAGGGAGACCCTGTCTCAAAAAGACCAAAAAAAAAAAAAAAAAAAAAGTCTAAGCACAGAGTACTCATTAAAATAAGTGCCTATCACTTTAACTAGTGGCGCAACAGTACCAGACTCATTAAAAATCAGTCCTTACCACTATAACTAGAGGGGCAATATGGTATTGCTGATAAAATCAATCCTTAAACATTTTAACTGGTGGTACGTGTATTACTGATCAAAGTCCATCCTCTTAACCACCCTAAGGGGACGTACAATAGAGTATTACTGCTTAAAACCTGTCCTCACCACTTTAACTAGTGGCACAGGACTGTATTATTGATTAAAACCAATCCTTACCAGTTTAATTAGACTTTATCAATTTGACATGAGACCATCTGAAAGCAGAGGACCTTCCTGTCACTGGGTCTGAGCACTGTGCCCACCTACCCCACCCCCTGGCACAGCCTCTGTGCTGGGGTGGTATGAAGACAGACTCCCATAAACAGCTGTTCTAATTTCAAATAGCCCAGTTCAGCTCTGCCAGCTAACTTCCATATACAGGATGAAACCAGCTCACTCCAGCTTGACCTGTCCAGTGTTTTTAAGTATTCTTCCCCATCCACCTGATCCCCAATCTTTGTAGGTCAGCCACATAGCCAGCTCTCTGAGTTTCCTCCCTGGGGAGCATTTGCACCAAGCTTTAATAGAGGAACCATCCCTGGCCCCACCGGGGATCAAAGCACACTGGTGCCATCCTGCTGCTACCCCATCAGTTGCAGAAGGTACGCCCCTAGCCCCTAGCACGCAGGGTAGAGTTTGATTCTTCAGTTGAACTAAATGGCTCCTAGAGGCTGGCTCATCTCCACGAGACAGAAAACTAGCTTTTAAGGACACCTTTGTCATCTACCCACTCCTCACACGGAAGACTTCCCCCCTAAAAATGCCAAGAGGTTCACACCTGTGCACAAGGAAACTTACACAAAGATACATTCATTGCAGCATGGTTCATGATAGAGAAAACCTGAGTGAGAGTAATCTCAATGCCCACCAGTAGGGAATGCTCTAAATAAATTATGAAATACTATGCAGCAGTCCAAAAGAATAAAACATAGACCCCCAAAACACGCTGATGGGGTGGAGGGTAAAGAATGGTACCATCTTTGTTTTAAAAAAGAAAAAAAGAGCAATATTTTATGGCGTCACATATATGTATAAAAATACGTGTATCCATGCACAAGAGAGGTCTTTACATGGAAGGAACGAGACGGTGAACAGGACCACATTCAACACTCAAATGTTCACACACATATCTTGTCCCCTTGTAAGGAGAACCAACGCAAATGCATGTATCATTCATAAAAATGAAAAACTAAAAATATCCAATTAAACACTTAAGTAAAAAAAAGTTACAGTCTTCAAAAAAAAAAAAAAATCAAATGGATTATGTAAGGCCTGTCAAGACATAATGACCAGGACACATGTGGGAACGGAAAAACAATAAATAAAAAATAAAAAATAAAGTAGCGGTGGAAGGCTTTTCTCCTGTCAGTGTGGCAAAAAGGGAAAGGGTGCCACGGAGAGCGGGGGCGGTACCTTTCACAGCCTGTCTGGTCTGATATCTCGTCCCCTGGGAAGACTGAGGCTGCTGCTGGTGGTGCTGCTGCTGCTGTTGCTGCTGCTGCTGCTGGCGCTGCATCTTCTGCATGTGCCACTTTTGGGAGGACGTTTGAAACTTACTTGATGAGTTCCACACGACCCGCTGCACGGCCGGGGCAGTCTCCTTCGGTAAGAGCGGCCTCTGCTTTTTCGCTGGGCTTCCTGTGACCGTGGCGGCCGGTGCTGTGACCGTGACGGCGGGCATCGTGCTGGTGGTGGCGGCTCCGGCGACCCCGGGGGCAGGCGCTTGGGCAGCGGAGCGGGTGAGCACTGGCGTCTCGGGGGGAGACTGGCTGCCCGCCGTGCTGGACAGTGGAGCTTTACCTAGAGCTACAGCCAGGGCGTGAGAACAAGCGGAGACTGGATTGGACTCGGGTTGGTGAGCAGGGACCTCACCTGGCAGAGGCAGGAACGCTGAAGGCATTCGGCATGACCGCACACCCCACAGAAATGGCTCATAAGAGCACAGCTTTACCCGCCTCATTGAGAGCATGCTCACAACCCAGATAGAGGCATGGCAAGCCTTCTGGGGGAGGAGGTGGGCAAGACCCAGCTTCTCACTGTGTACCCAGTGGCCCAAGCAGTAAGTGAAGGGAAACCAGGCTTCTGCCCGTCCATAGAGGAGACAAACCCTTGAGCTAGGAAAGCAACAGGGTCTGTACCCCAAGAACAGGACAGATGGCCCTCAAGGTCAAAGCACACAACACTGCGTCTTCCAGAAAGCTGCACCTCTCTACTATACCATCCAAGATGGTATCTCAGGGAGAGGCTGGCTGACTGGACATTTAACACTAAAAAGAAGTCAGACCCAGGCACAGAGCCGGACCCCAACTCACGGCACCTAGACTTTAAATAGCCCTTGTTCAGTTTGGATTCTAGTTGTTTCTGCCCCCACCCTTTACGGATAGCACATAATACTGGACTTTTTATTGTGCAGTAGGGTCAGATTAAGTCTAAAAGTTTTTTTAAGAGTTGTTGTAAAAACATTAAGTCAAGAATGTCTCACAAGAAACAACAAAAAAGAATGTAGGTCAGTGGTAGGGCACTGATCTGGGCTTAATTGTCTTAGTAAAAAATGATTATAAAAACATGAAGTCAATAATTACACAGGCAGGATGTGAGAGCGGACAGCACAGTGCCAGTGAGTCTGGGCTAGGACTGCTACTGCAGGATTTAACCAGGCAGGAGTGAGGATGCGAACTCCCAGCACTGACTGTGTGGACACATCAGCATTACGGGAAGTGAGAGCAGGCTGTGGAGAAGCAGCTGGAAAGTGAGTCAGAACGAGCGGCCCTGAGCTTGTTTATGAAGCAGAGATGGTGGCTACCGAGGTCTCAGCTTGCCCCCCAGGATGCCCCAGAAGCACACTCCACACGGGGCAAGGAGGCTTCCCCACACTACTTATCAGCATTGAGCTTTACTTTTTAGATTCATATCACCCAGAAAAAACACAAGAGTGTGATTATTCCAGGTAGGATTTTCAGCAAGATTTGAGCTATAGGAGGCCGAGGGAGAACTAAAGGAAGAGCCACCAGCTTCCATATCATAAGCACCTGCTCCTCTGGAGAGGGAAGGCGACATATTTCCCACAATGAAGAGCCCTGGTCCTTTCGGCTGGCAGACAACAGTCCCTGCCTGCTCTGGGTACAGAGGCAACCTTGAACTTGGCTGGATGGATCAGCCAGACAGAGATGTAGTCCCTGACAGAGGTTCTAACCTGAAGCACCTCAGTGACATAAAGACATCATTATTGATTCTAAGCAAAGGACCGCCACAAAAAGGTCATTTTCTCTCTCCTGAAATAAAAGCAAACAGCCAGCTAGCTTTGTAGGGAGCATCTGCTCTGTGCTGGTCACACTGGCTCTTTTCCTAAAGGAAAACTGAAGAGATGGAAATGGGTCCACACAAAGATTCCAGAACCAAGGTACTGCTTGGGGTTATCACCTAGGTACCAAAATACCTTCATTTTTGGAGAATTATGGTGGTTTACGGAGGGGAAAACAATAAAAAGCTATTGGAAATTTGATTTTTGGTAGAAATTCAGAGTATATAATCAATCACTGAAAACAGAGGTAGATTCCTTAAAGGACTAGCACCCCAGAATTTGCTCATTAAATTAACATCCCTAATCCGGAACAAATCAGAAGTCATAGTTTTGTGTTGATAAAAGGTGGCTTTTCTAAGAACTCATATCCCTGTCAGGAGGGTGACAACATTCACTGTGGCAAGGAAGCACAAGAGTCAGGGAGCTGCCTTCTTCCTCCAGTCATAAAAGCTGTGTCGGTGTCTGAGGACTGGATTCTCCCCTCTCTGCACTCTGGGCTGAGGGTTGACTGAAGACACACAGGCCACTCAAATGCCCTTCAGTTCATCAACTGAGACGTGAGAGAATGTGGTTGGAACGAGGCTGTGAATGAGGCATCTGAGAAAGATGCTTTGCACTGACCAAAACCAGCCCAGGGACTGGGCTAATGTAGTCAGTTTTGCTCCAAGCCTTTTAGAAAGCTGTTCTAACTGCACTGTATTCTAGAATCTTCTTCAACTCAAGCAATCACCATCTATGTAGGGCTTCCTGGAGAAACTTCCATCAGACATTGATACCTGGAGAGGCTCTCCTTCTTTTAAGCTTTTGACTCTTTTTGAAATGTGTGAGGTTTGCTGAGGAACTAGTCTTCCCTTCTTGTTTTCACTGCTAGGAAGCTTAGAGCTGAAATGGAAACGCGTGTCTGTGACTCCTGAAAATTGGAACACGCCGTGGTTTGGTTTCCTGTAGCCCAGGTAGTCTTAAACTCCTGATTCTCTGGCCTTCACTTACAGGTACTGGGATTAGAAGTATGTGCCACCACACCTGGCTTAGGGCATGGTTTTATATGAAACCTCTCTCTAAAACCAGGGCATAAAGCAAATTAATCAAAAGGTCAGTTTCAGGGTCAGTGAGATAGCTCAGTGGATAGAGGAGCTTGCCATCAGGCCCAACAACCAGAGTTCAATCTCCAGGACCCACATGGTGGGGAGAACCTCTGACCCCCACACAAGGATGCACGTACACAAATAAATAAACGTAATAAAAAATTTAAAGGTCTGTTTCAGAAAGAACGGGAGACTCTAAGCACGGCCCAGGAGCACTAAACTACCACACTTCATGGAATCAACACAACTCCTATAGGGCAGTAATGGACATGCTCTCTAACCCCACTTCACAACCACATGGACGTCAGCCTTCAGCAGCCCTAAGTGATGGCCTGGCCTTTCTCCCACCCACACACTGACAGGCATTTTCATCTCTTTTCCTCAGTTCAGGAATCACTCTCCCGCTAACAACTGAGGTTCCAGATGTCCACCGAGTGGGCACACCACAGAACAAGAATCTTAAGGTGGAGCCACATGCCTTAAATCCCAGCACTTGGGAGGCAGAGGCAGAGGCAAGCTATCTCTGTGAGATTGAGGTCAACCTGGTCTACATAGTGAGTTCCAGGCCAGCTGGGGTTACAGGAAAAAACAAACAACAAATTGACTCAAAAAACAAACAGGGCTGGGCATGGTGGCACACACCTTTAATCCCAGATCTCTGTGAGATTGAGGCCAACCTGGTTTACATAGTGAGTTCCAAGCCAGCTGGGGCTATAGGGAGACCCTGTCTCAATTTAAAAAAGGACCAAAACAACCAGAAAAAGATCCTTGAGGTACAGCAAAACCTTACTTCAGGCCACAGGGACTCCAGGGGACCACAGACTGACACCCTACTTCTGGGTTAGGATGAGACAACAGATCACTTCCTTTCAGAAGTGAGACTCAATCCAAAATGAAACCTGGCTGTGTTCTACATCCCCATACTAAGCACACGCAGTTTGCTGGCCTCTTCCTATTATGTGTTCCTCAGCGACATCACTCTTCAGCCCTTAGTGAACACTCAGCATTTTCCTTGGGTGCTGTTGAAATCCCCCCTGCCCCCACCCCACTGGAAAACTTGCTATGACCTTGTCATGGCTAGGACACTCATACCTGTCGACACTGGAAGTGTTGACAGCATGCCCGCTGCAGGGGGCCCTGGGCCATGCTGCTCTTCACAAGAGAAAAGCCACCAGCCTAAAGATACTCAGGCAGTGACCCAAAGCCTGGTAGGTTTTACCCACTAAGGGACATCTGACACTAGCTGACCATGTTTGATGGACAGGTTCTACTGCCATCTAGTGGCAAGAGGCCAGAGATTCACAAGACATTCTCCATTGTAAGACCAGGGGTTCACAAATGCATTCAGTTCCACAGCACAGTTGGTCATATCCTGTCCATAGCAGCCACACAAGGTCTCTTCCATTTCCAATGCTCTATGAAGCCCTTGGGACATCCTCTAAGGATTCCTGTCCATCCTAGATAAGGAGAGAAGTTGAATCTATCCACCCAGAACTGAACTCAACCACCTGAGCCCTGACAAATGAGGACCTTTAGAATGTTGCCAGAGAACTTGCCTAGTATGCCAAAGGCCGTGGGTTCAGTCTCCAGCACCCTTCAACCCAGTGTGGTTGTGCACACCTATTATAACCCCAATACACGAGAAGACAGGAGGACCCAAGGCTTAAGGTCATCTTTGGTGATAGAGCTCAAGACCAGGCTGGGCTATATGAAACCTTGCCTCAAAAGCCAACCAAACAAAAATAAAAAAGAGTTGGAGAAACAAAGTTGAGGCTAAAAGACACAAGCAACTCTAAGTATTCACAGAACTTATTTTTCTGGTTTACAGTGTTGGGGATCAGGCAGGCAAACCATGGGTCTACTGGGGACCTGATGACACTGTTGCTTAAATAAATCAGGTGTTGCTTAAATAAATCCAATTTGCAGATTGGAAAACAAAGGCCCACAGAAGCCATTTGCCATCCGTTACGCTGAAAAGCCATTTGTCTAGACACATGGCTTCCCACCCCTTACGCTAGGCTTCACAGTAACACAAATGCAAGGTGTGGTTCTACACTAAACGAAGAAACCAGAACCCGAGGGCTGGGGCTGTAGCTCAGTAGTAGAGCGTTTGCCTACCATGCACAAGGTCCTGGGTTTGATCCCACACACCAAAACCAACAAAACAAAAAGCCCTGGCAGCTGTTACGGTGACTTACCATCCTGCTTAGGCAACGTCTCCTTAGGCTCCTTCTTAGTTTTGCGACCCTCCCGCCCAGAAGGGTCTTCTCCTAAGTCTATAACAAGTTCGCTCTCGGAGTCGGAGTCCAAGCCCAAATGCACTGTTGGGGAATCTGTCTCATCCTTCCCCTTCAGTTTATCCTTTGTGGGGTGAGGTGATGGTTTTGCCTTCTCTGTGAAGTCCTTCTCAGGCTCCGGGCTGGCCTTGTCCTTAGCTGGCACCATGTCTGCCTTCTCGCTGGCTGGAGAGTTGCTTTTCAGCTCCTCCTTGACCTCTACTGGGTTGGCAGGCTTGGGTTTTTTTTTGGCGGCAGGGGCCTCCTTGTCTTCGGGGTCCTCCGGTTCATTCTTGGATTTCGGTCCATCATCGCTGGCGTACTCGCTGTCGCTACTCTCTGACTTCTCAGAGTCCTCCGAATCACTGTGCTCAACGGCTGTGTAGACATCTTCAGAGATCTCATTTATGCCTAAGGTCAAAAGAAAATAGCCCGAGGCTTAGCTATACAAGAAAGAGGGAAAACACCTGCTCCATACCCCATGCTGGACTCAGAAAGCACCCAGGAATGACCTGGCAGGAACAGTAGTAATCAGATAGAGCCTGTGCTGGAAGTAAATATCAAGATGTTTATTGGTGGTTGTTTTTATTTTAATTAAGATGCATTGCTGGGCGTGGTGGTACACGCCTTTAATCCCAACGCTGGGAGGCAGAGGCAGGCGGAGCTCTGTGAGTTCAAGGCCAGCCTGGTCTACCTAATGAGTTCCAGGACAGCTGGGGCTACAGGGAGACCCTGTCTCAAAAAGACACACACCCACACACACACACAAAAGATGTATTTATCTGGCTGTGTGGCACGCGCACACACACGCAATGCCACCACAGGCCAGAAGAGGGTGTGGGATCCTCTGGAACTGGAGTTACTGTTAGCCACCACAGGGATGCGGGAAATGCAGACACTATGCAAGAGTAACCAGTGCTCTTGGGGGGTGGGGGGGGCTCAAGGACAGATGGGAGGAGTTGCTTAAATAAATCCAATTTGCAGATTGGAAAACAAAGGACCAGAGAAGCCATTTGTCTAGACACAAAGGAAATGAACTTGGAGGCAAAACCAGGTATCTGGGCTCCTGACTCACCAGTAGCACTGCTCTATGCCTCTTCAAAGTTTGACGAGGACTTTGCCTCTGTCCAAGGCTCAAAAAGGACAGCCTCCGAGCAGGGTTGCCACCACTTGGCCCATAAGCTCACCTGTAGCATGTGCCTCTTGTCTGGGGAGCAGTGGCTGAGCCTCTACCTACTGTTTGTTTTTGCCTTTCTTAAAGATTACAATTCATGCCTTTGATCCCAGCACTTGGGAGGCAGAGAGGCAAATCTCTGTGAGTTCAAGACCAGCTTGGTCTACATAGCAAGTTCCAAGCCAGCTGGGGTTACAGGGAGACCCTGTCTCAGAAAGACCAAAAAAAAAGTTACAATGCACTGCCCAATTCACAAAGAAATTTCATATAGAAGAAGGCAGCCTTTTTCTAATGCAATCACACAAGCAACGTGTGGGTGGGGCCGAAGGCTCTGCCCCTTAGGCCCAGGCAGGTTTCCAGGTGACCAGGTGCTGCCCCTCCTTCCAGCTGGCTCCCTACACTGCAGCAAAGAATCTAGTGCTAATACTTCTGCACTGTCCTACTCACAGAGGAGGCAAGATAAAACCACACCTAGCTATCAAGGGAAAGTCACAGAATAGCAGGTCTCACACAACTCACACAAACTACGGACAAAGCACATTTCCATCAACAGTTCCCTCACCCTGGCTATGCTTCTGGCTCAGGCTGCAGGTAAATAATACATCCCCCAAAGAATGAAAATCCAATCAACTCATGGCACCAGTGTAAGTCATGGGCAGTGCCCGGTCTCTCGTGATCTAGTTGTGCCAAAGAGAAACTTGCAAAGAGTAAGCCCCAAGCCAAGCCAAGACAGAACTAAATCCGCCTCCCACAGGGCCCAACGAACACAAAACACAGGGCTGGGACTGAGGGTGCCACTGGTAGGTAACCTTGAGGCAAAGGTTCTCTGGACAAGCAAGATCACATGACCATCTGTAACACCTCAAGCAAAAGACCTGCCTCACTGAGCCTCAGAGTCTCCAGTGCAAACCAGAGTTGTTATTTGTTTCCCAGAAAAATCCAGACACAGTCCTTAGCCTAATGAGGTGGGTCCAGAAAACGCTGGGCAAATGAAGTGGCAAAACTTAATAGTAAGGTTCTGTGTTACACAGTTGCACAGGACTTCAGGGGGCCCTGGGATGCCCTGCCGACCTTGATCGCTGCCCCTTAATGTCCTAAAGGGACAGGCAGCCCAACTCCAGTGACCCCTAACTACAACCCCTTCTCACACTAGGATCCAGAGTACCCAGAAACACTGGAAATCTCACCTCAGAGTGGCCCTCTCTCCTGGAGCCCACTGTCCATCACTTCCTCAAGCCCTCCTAGATTAATTTACTGCCTCAGTATTTCAGAAGAGCTAGTATACACATAGATGAGACCAGCTTCCACGAAGAAGCAAATCCCTATAAAACAACCTCCCTATTTTGAAACATTTCTAATATAGGTAGCAAGACTACCACCCGAAGGCCCTTCATACTTTGGAGCAAGAAAGGACCAAAGGAGGTCAGCAAAAACAAAAGCAATCAGGTGAAACTTCCTGGAGGTAAGGCTTGCACTCAGCCTGGGGGAAGGTAGGCTCAAGAAGGAAGCTGGCACAGAGGAAGCAGGGCAGGTACCTGGTAGGGAGTGGCTGTGCCTGCAGGGGAGGGCTGGACATTTATGGCACCCACTCAGGAACAGTGCCTTGACATCTGAGTACAGAGGAGCCAGGAGAACTTGGGGTACCTGTGCTTTTACACAGGCACCTGGTGTGAAAGTTCTCAGGCTGCCTTGGCTGGAGAATCATGCCTGCTGCATTGAGGGCCCTTCTAGTAAATGAACTGCCAAGTCTGAAATCCGCTGCCCTGAGTGGAAAAGCATTAAGCTTTACAAACAGATCAAGGTCAAGGAGCCCCGCAGGGAGGCACTAGGATTCAGCCCTTCCGTTAGCACCTCCGTGAACAGCACCTGCAGCACCATAGGCAGTTGAAGGACCTACCTAGCTGTGCTTTGCAACTCTCTATGGTCTTGTCCAGATTGAGCTGGAACCGGCTGCGAATCTGCCGCTTGGGAGAGATGAGAGGGACGGGGGCCGACTGCTGCTGGACCGACTCGCTCAGCTCCTTCAAGTCCATCTCGGCTTTGCTTCGATCTGGAAGACATGACCACACCCTTGTCAGACCAGGCATGTGGGGGCAAGAAAATACCACCCACCACTCAGCTAGGCCAACCAGTAAGCATACTTTATAAATCAAGCCCAAACAGAATCCACCTGTCCAGAGACAAGGGCCAGTCAAAAGTAATGTAAGAAACACATGGCAGGTTTACTTCGCCCACGGAAAAATGGATTCAGTACAGAAAGCCCAGCCAGGTGCTTCAGTTTATGGGCCTCAGGCGCACTGAAAAGGCTGCTGATAATCTATCCATCCTCAATGAGCAGGCTGGCAGCACCTGCCCAGAAGGAGCAAGGGGACGGACAGCTTCTCCCACAAAAGGCATCACACCCCAAGTGTGATGGGTCCTGGCAGTTTATAAATCATTCCCAGTCCATCCATCTAAGGCTTGAATAAGAAACAAAGAGGTTCTTTGGCTGACAGCACAGGGGAGGAGAGTGAAAAGATTCTCCTGGGTTACTGACCTGGGGCAAAAAGGTATTCACAGGTAAGGACCCAGTTCCTCAAACTGATGTTGAGGTCATAAGTTCCCTGGTGGCCTCTGCCAGGGGCTTTCTGTATGACCAGCTAGACCAGATTTCCAGGGGCCAGTGAGCACATTTCTTGAATTCTTTCCCACCTTTCCTAGTGCCCAAAACATAGGAGGAAATGAAGGTGTCTGCTTAGGTCCAGAAAGCCAGGAGACCTGCAGGAGGGGCAGGCTGCCCCTACTTGGCTTGTTCCCCTCCCGCATCTCCCCCAAACCACCCCAGGCAGTGACAGAGAATAATTTACCTCCGAGCCTGTTCCCACCAGCTGAGCTCCGTCCCAGTAACTACCTACCCAAGGCCTCCTCCGATGACAGAGGGGCCCCCAGAAGTGATCTGAGAGCTGACCAGGCCTTCACCAACTCCTCTTGGGTTTAGACCTGAGCCACATCCCTTCCCATGACAGAGCAAGGTTGTTGTCTAACACCACAAAGCTCCCCTAAGCTCCACCCAACCCTCACACAGGTACACAGAAGCACCAAGCTCATTCATCATGACATCTCCTACTGTGGTAATCAGATTGGGAAGGCCTCATTTCCCCAAACACATGAAGGGATTAGAAGCACATATACACACACACGTACACATGCACCCCAAGATTTCCATAACATACACTCAGAGCAAGCAGAGACCACCCTGTGACTCATCCAAGTGTGCACATGTGTTCTTGTGTACATCTGGGATCGGCTGGAATAGGCTGGAAGGGATCTGGAGGGGGCAGGCCAAGTGAGAGTCAGCCCTACCTGCAGGTCACCCCTGTTTTCTGGACCTACACAGCCACCGTTTTTTCCTCCTCTACATGTGTTCTTGTGGGAACACATATGTAAAGCTAACAGGGGATGGTCGCAGAGCTGCTGTGAGAGTCAAGGAAAAAAGAGGAGGAAAAAGAAGCTTCATTCAAGTTTAGCAGTGAGAGAACTAGAAAGCTATTTTCCTACCCCCACGTTTGTCTCCAGGGAATCCAAAGGGGCTTATAAAGAAGATTTATACAGTGATTCAGAGCCCAGAAAACCAACCTAGGAGCAGTTGGGAGTCTGTGGGATTGAGGACTTAGCGCCTGCATAGAACACGTGACAGCCAAATGGGTAGGACAGTTTCTCAGCTATGAAGCGTGGGGGCTGCGCAAACAGCCCGGTGGTTAAAGAGTGCTTGTTGCTTTCAGAAGACCCAACTTTGGTTCCCGGCACTGATGTCATATGAGTCACAATCACCTGATACACAGCCCCAGGGGATCTGACAACCTCTTCTGGCCTCCATAGGTACCTGTGAGCGCGCGTGCACACACACACACACACACACACACACACACACACACAAATCTTTAACTTTTTACAAACTTTATGTGTATGAGTGTTTTACCTGTATGTATGTAAGTGCACCTGTGTCATACAATGCCTGCAGAGGTCAGAAGAGGGCATCAGATCCCTTGGAACTGGAGTTTGGGGTGGTTGTTAGCCTCCAGGTCAGTGCTGAGAACCGAACCTGAGTCCTCTCTAAGAGCAGCCAGTGCTCTTAAGTGCTGAGTCCTCTCTACATAACATAAATTTTTAGACAATAAAATAAATCTTTAAGTAATGCACGGCTCCCACAGGACAGTGGAGGCCTTGTCTCAGTTTGGTCTGGCACTTTTTTTGTCTGTCTGATTTTTGTTTCTGAGATTCACCATGTAGCTCAGGTTCGCCTCAAACTGATGCTTTTTCTTCGCCTCCCAGTGTCAGATTACAGGCATGCGTTGTCACACCTGGCTAAGGCAGTCTTTCACACACAAAGCTGGAAAACAAGCATCCCATGAAAACACTTTCTACAAAGCAGGAGGGGGAGGGGCTGGCCAAGCAAAGCAGTCATAAGCATCCTCCTAAAGTGACTGGGGTCAGTGAGATGGCTCAGACTGTTAAGGGTACTTGTGGCCAAACCTGATGACCCGAGTTCCATCCTCCAGAACATGTGGTAGAGAAAACAGACTCCTACAAGTTGTTCTGTGACTTCCATACACACACCATGACACAAGTGCCCCCCACACATGCATATACATACATACACACATAGAATAATAGTTTATAAAGAAATGGTCACTGTCAGACAGGCCAGGAAGCTTTTTCTACGAAGGCCCAGAATGTAGATATTTTAGGCTCTGAGTCGTGCAGGTGGTGCTGGTAAAGTGACCGTAAATATAAACCCATGGTGAGAAGAGAACTGTGTTCCAATAAAACTTGTAACACAACTGGAGGGACAGACAGGACAGCACCAAGGCAGTCAAGTAACAAATTTACTCTAGTCTGATGACTACTCACCTTGGCCTGGCCTGCAGGGTTCTGAAAGCCCCTAAGCCCTCCTTACCCACATGAACTCTACCTCAACTGTCGTAGAGGGGGGTTGGGCAGCAGCCTGTCCAGGTGATACTTACCAGCAGCTGAAGCTGGGACCCCATATCAGACCAATCTTCAGCGTGGCAGAGGAAGGCATACAATTTACCTTGACACTGTGAGCCTGTGTCATGGGACCCTTGCCTTAGAACTCATTTAAAAAAAAAAGAGCTGTCCTCACAATCTAGCTGTGTACATGTGTGTGTACAGATGTGTGTGCACACATATGTGTCTGTATGTCTACAGTAAATGCCACCCAACCCCTCTTAATTTTATTCCAAAAAGACTGAACATAGAGAATTTGCCTAACATGCATGAAGCTGATTGAATCCCCAACACCAGTTCCAGGAGATCAGATGCCATCTTCTGGTCTCCAAGGGAAGGAGGAAGGAAGGGAGGGACCCAGGCCTGGTGGCTCATGCATGTAATCCCAGCGTTAAAGAGACTGAGTCAGGTGGACTGCCATGAGTTCAAGGTTAGCCTGGGCTAACACAAACACAAAGACTAGACTCTGGAAACCTAATAATAGATAAGTACCTATTTTACAAACTAAGGTTTCTCTGGCCAATAAGCTATTGTTATATGTAGCTTAGAACAAACCACCCAATGTGTAAGGGCTGGGGTCAGAACAGAGCTTCCAGTACTTAAAGCAAAGACAATTATCTGTCCTGAGAGTTCTGGCTGTGTAACTTTCCTCTCCTCCTGAAAGGAAGTACTTATCAGAGCCTCTCCCAGCCCACCCTTCTACACTGGGAAGATCTCCAGCATCCAGCCAAGCTGCCAGCATTCTGAACTTTTCAGCTGATGTGAAGACAGCTCCAGCTATAAATGGAAACCAGGGAGAAAATAGCGGAGCTAGAGAAAGAAGCACTCTCTTGCATTTTTGCAGGGAAGTGGAATCAGAGCAGACATTGCACTGGGCAGCTTCTTACCTGGCTCTCCAAGCCAGGAGGCCTCTGACCCTCTTCCTTTCCACTTCTGTGGATTGCTTTCCTATGGTGCAAAAATGTCTTCATTGTAGCTGTTTTCAGTAGCGAAAATAGACAACAACCTAAACAGACAACAACCTAATGATCATAAATAAGATATCCAGATGGAAACTATCCACCTACGGATGGATGGGGATAAACATATCTGCTAAAATACAATGGGGAAAGATTCCTGTGCGTTGACATCAAAAATCAACCTCTTAGGGAAGGAAAGATGGTTCAGTGGTTAAGAGCACTGACTGCTCTTGCAGGACTCAGATTTAGTTCCCAGAGCCCACATGGAGGCTAACAACTGTCCCTAACTCCAGTTCTGGGGAATCCAATGGCCCCTCCTGGCCTCTACAGGCATTGTACCCACAGGTACACTTAACATACATATAGGCAAAACTCATACACATAAACTCATAAAATAATGATTTTTTTTTTTAATTAAAAAAGGAAAAAGACACTTGTAGGAAAGCGTAACCAGAGGTAAAGCACAGTAGCCTTGGTGTGAGAAGAAAGAGACAGGGTTAGAATGTGAATGCACGTGTTGGTACTGAGGACACGGGACCCGAGTAAGTCTTTGTGGTGAGATGGGCAGGCTGTCCTCTGTGGTAAAGGTGTTTATCGAAGTACCTAGCCTCTACCCACTGTATGCCAGGAGCACCTACAGCTCAATTACAACAACAAAAATGTCTCCTACATCGCCAGGGATAAAACTCAGACTGAGAACTGATGGTCTAGCAAGTAGAGGAGATGGAAAGAAGGTGATAGTGGTCACTTAGGGAAGCAGAAGGGGGTAGAGCACACAATGGGGTGCCTAGGGGAGAGAGAGGGGCAGAAGCAGACCAGCTTTCTACTGAGTATCCTGCTGTACTCTGAAATTTCTTATCTTGTGCATTCATGACTTGTAAGTCACAAAATAACCTTCTGAGACAAGGTCTCATGTATCCCAGGCTAACCTCAAATTCCTTATGTAGCCAAGTTGACCCTCAATCCGCTTCCTGCCTCCACCTCTTAAATGATGGGATTATAGTTGTGCATCACTACATATGGCTCAGTGAAAACTTACTAAAGGAAATTATGTGTTATTTATTTACTCATTCATTTGTTTTTG